TTTTGCAAACATATTGGAACTGTTGCAATGTTTTATATTTTTCAAAGTATCCTTTTTAACATACCGGAGAATGGTAGTATAATTTTGTTTAGTGCTTTCAGATGAAATATTAAACCAAAACCTGATCTACCTACTCAAGTGAATGTAAGAGATGCTAGGGTAATATATTTGGAAATTAGTAGGGGAATTATCCCTGGTGTTCTGATCAATGTTTATCCCTCAATCAACATCTCAGAAATGGATAATCTAGTCGATATCGCATTTTGGTTTGTGGGAGCTGTCTGTCCGCAAATTGGCTCCTGTGTTTCATACATTACAGCCATAAATGCATGTCAGAAAGCATTTCACTGGCTGTGAAGCATTTTGTCACATCTTGGGGTCATGAAAAGCATTGGATAAATGTGGGACAACGAGACATAGTGGGAATGTCAATAGACTAGTAAACCTGAGATGAGGACTAATGCTGTGGGATCATGGATTCCAATCCCATCACGGCATCTGGTGGAATTTAAATTCAATTAATATAATTTGGAACATAAATTTAATTTCAGTAATAGTGCTGTGAAATGTAATTTTTTAAAAAATCTGCTTCATTAACATCTTCTAGGGAAGGAGAAACCCTGTCCTTACCAATTATGGCCTACATGTGACTCCAGACCCACAGTAATATGGTTGACTCTTAATTGTCACTCAGTTCAAGGACAAGTAGGGATGGATCACAAACACCTGTCTTTCCAATGACTCTCACATCCCACTCAAGAATGAAGAAAGTCAATTTATTTATTTTCATTTCCTTCAATTTTCAGAAACTTACCTTTTTCCCAAACTGTGTTTTCTTAGGAACTAAAATTTCAAAACTTCATTCTGAGCTCTGAGCAAAACTAATCAAATGTTTACACATGTTAATCAAATTTCTGTTCAAGATAGCAACCTGGATCAGTATATCTTATGTGGTATGATAAGCAAGTAGTCCTCAGAGTGCATCTCAATGATTATTTTCATCCAGCAAGAGCTGTAATTTGTAAACTTGTAACTCCAACATCCACAACCCAAGATAATCAAGGATCTAGGAGCAGCAGTGATTGTCACCATGCAGAGTCTACAAATAGTTCCATCCTCAATTGGAAACCAGTAACCTGGGAGTATATTGAAGAGCTGTTCAACAGTGAATGTTTCTGCCATATATTGTAATTATACAAATGATGCAGCTCCTCTGGAAGAGAATCTTGACTGAAATGCATAAAACTTTGGAAATTATCTTGTGATCTGCATTTGCTGTTTGCCTTGCCGTCACATCTTCTGCTGAAGATAGCAACCTGGATTCTGTCAATTCTCAGAACAAGTACACTCCACAGGGATTAGGAAGAATCACCAGCAATTTTTTTCCAAAATCTGTGTGTTCTTTATAATGACAATATATTGAGACAGGATATTTAATAAGTTTATTGTTCATCAAGTAATTTAGACTTGTAATTTCCACTGACACTGCTGGTAATTTTTTTTCTCACCATGTCTGTGTTTGTCATAGCAATAGTTTTCCTAGAATTAGTTTTATTAATCCAGATGAGCCATTAAACCTCTGTTTGCCTGCTCAGGTGGCTGTAAAACATCCCATGACACCACATCAAAAACAGCATGGAACTTATGCCTGGTTACCTGGATAATATTTATCCTTCAACCAACATCACAAAAAAAGGGAGATTACTTGGTCATTTCGTGGGGCTTGCAGTGCTCACATTGTTTACCTCATACATGAATCATAACAGTGACTGCACTTAAGAAGTACCTCATTGGCTGTAAAGAGCTTTGCAGTGTCACAAATAGAAGTCTAATTTTCCCTTTATTGTTCTTTCATGAATACTAAGATGATAGAGACTGAACAAGATCATATTTTACATCCAGCAATTCCAATGTTCCTAAGGTGAGATGCATTGGTTAGAAGGAACAGTGACCCTGAACAGTGACCTAGAGGAAATCAAAAGGATTTCAACGAGAAAACTAATAGTAAAAATAAATTGAAACCCAGAAGTACAGCTTTGAAATGAATGCAACATTCATCCTTCATTTTAAAGTTATAAGTGTATATTTTCTACCCAGTTTGATATCTTGCATTATAGTTGATGCCTATGGCTTTTTCCATGGATGCATAACCTGATTGTCTGCAACTTCAACATTGGAATAGGTTAAAGAGGGAATCTGATCTTCTGATGTGACCGGGTTGAGTTTACTGTTAATACGTGGTGGGTATTTTCCATAAGACCATAGAGGTAGGAGCAGAAGTAGGCCATTCAATGCATCGAGTCTGCTCCAACATTCGATAAAATCATAGCTAATCTGATAATCCTCAACTCCACCTTCCTGCTTCTTCCCCATAACTCTCGATTCCCTTACAGATTAAAAAAAAACTGTCTATCTCAGCCTTAAATATACTAATGACCTAGCCTCAACAGACTTTTGTGATAAAGAATTCAACAGAGTCACAACCACCCCCTCCTTAGCAGAAGAAATTACTCCTCATCACTGTCTTAAATTTGCAACCCCTTATTCTGAGATTATGCCAGTGCCTAACTTCACATTTTACAACATTGTATTCCATCTGCCAAGTTTTTGTCCAACCACTTAACCTGTTTATATCTCTCTGCAGAGTCTTTTTTCTCATTCACACCACTTGATTTCCAACCTATTTTTGTGTCATTTGCAATCCTGGCAAGTACATTCACTTTCCTCATCCAAGTCATGAATACATATTATAAATAACTGTGGCACTAGCAATGACCCATGTGGCACTCCACTCATTACAGGTTGCCATCCTGAAAATGTCCTCCTTATCCCAACACTCTGTCTTCATATTAATTAGTCAATCCTTTATCCATGCCAGTATACTATCTCCAACATGATGGGTATATCTTATTATGGAGCCTAATCTGTGGTACTTTATCAAACGCCAACTGAAAATCCAATTATATTACATTCACTGTTTACCCCCATCTATCCTGCTTGTTACCTCCTCAAAGAATTCTAGTAAATTTGTCAGATATGACTTCGCTTTCATGAAGCAATGCTGACTCTGCTTGATCATATCATGTATTTCCGAATGCTCTGCTATTACATCCTTTATCATAGACTAACATTTTCCCAATATCAGACATTAGGCTAACTGGCTTATTACCTGTTAGCTGATTTTTTTTTGTCTCTTTCCCTTTTTAAGTAAAAGTGTTACACTGACAATTTACCATTCCTCCATGACTTTTCCAGAATCTAAGAATTATTGGAAGATTACTAGAAGTGCATCCACTATCTCTGTGGCCACTTCCTTTAATATTTTGGAATGCATCACATCAAGTCCGGGGGAACTTATCAGTTTTTAGCCCCATTAATTTCCCTAGCATCTTTTCTCTAGATACAGTGTTTGGATTTATTTCCTGTCCTCCTTTCACCAATGATTATTTAATAATTCTGGAATGCTATTAACTTCTACAGTGAAGATTGATGCAAAGTTTTTATTGAACTCCTCTGCTGGTTCCTGGTTCCCCAATAGTATATCCCCAGCCTTATTCACTAAGGGTCTAACATTCACTTTGGATTTTGTCTTCCTTTTAATTTATTTGCGGGAGGTTGGTCAGCTTAGTTGGCCGAATGGCTTAATTGAAATACAGAATAACACCCACAGAGTGGGTTTAATTCCTGTACTGGCTGAGGTTACCATACAGACTCCTCTTCTCAATGTCTCGCCTTGCCTGAGGCATGGTGACCCTCAGGTTAAACCACCACCGGTCGTCTCTCTCTAATGAGAGAGCAGCCCTATGTTCTGTTAAGACTCTGATGATGTTACCTTTCATTTATTTAAAAAAACTCTTGCTGTTTGTCTTAATATTGCTTGCAAATTTGCCCTCAATGTTTACATTTTCTCTTTTTATTATTTTTGATCAATTAGAATCATAGAATCTCTACAGTGTGGAAGCAGGCCATTCAGCCCAATGAGTCCACACCAACCCTCCAAAGAGCACTCCACCCAGACCCACCCCCTCTACTCTATCCCTGTAACACTTCATTTCCCATGGCTAATCCACCTAGCCTGCTCATCCCTGGATACTATGGGCAATTTAGCATAGCCAATCCACCAAACCTACACATCCTTGGACAATTAGAAAGGTAAGGTTTGACATGATAAATAATCCCAATGGCACATCCACCCCCATGAGGTGCAACTAAAATGGTTGCCACCCTGCATTTTTCTTCCAGTTTTGTAATTGATGCAAACTTTCTGGTTCCTTGCAAAGAGTATATCAGTGCATTGGTGCAAATGGCAAATGTCAGTGCTGAACTGGAGACTGGCCCTCATTAGGCAGTCTAGACCAAACACAACAGATACACTCATCACTTTAATCTGTCTCAATACACCTAGATCCCTCCTTAAGTTTACTACGTCAGCCTCACTCTGCTGTCATTTTGGGATGTTTAGTGTTGTTCTACGCCAAGAATTCAAATAACAGGGTAATTGTACTGCCATGAGGAGACTCTATCCCTCAAACACCATCACTAGAACCGTTTGCTTTGTCAAGATTTTTTTGTTGTTGTTGCAAAGCCTGCAGTGCTTCCCACGTAGTGAGAAGAAAAACTGTTTTTATTGCCAAAAGTAACCTGTTGAGCTAAGAAATCGCTGTCTACAGGCAATTTATTTCTTTCAGTGGAGATGTCCAGCCCTTCCCCTACGGGTTAACACTGTCACAGTTTCACATTGCATTCGAGACAAGGTTTCACACGGGATCTCGTTTCAGAAAACCTTAGGTTGCAATCTGTTTTGATTTCCAATTTTTTTTAAAATTACCAATCCCACAACAAGTAATAACGAGCCCAGTCTGCAGAAATTCACCTGATGCCAGGTGAACACACCTCCCGTCCTGTGAATCTAAGTTCACCCACTCCTCGGCCCTCCCAGAAAATAAACTTACAATGCGAGTTGTAAACTGACACTCCCTCCCTCCCTCCCTCCTGCCAATCTGAGTAAATATTACCTGGAACTGCATGGTAACGTACAGCAAAGCATACACCGCTCGCCATCACTTCGCGTGTTGTGGAAATCGTGACCTCTTCTAATTCGTGTTTGAACCAACGGCGACTTTTGTGTGTGTGTGTGTGTGTGGAGTTTTGGTGGTGGAAGGGGCTGGGGGTTGGTTGTTCTGCGGAAGGGGTGAACGTAAAGTGAAGCGAATTTAACGATAACAAGCGAAACGCCTGCTTGAATGCGGCAGGAAGGATTGGCTTCCAGGAAGAGTGGGGAAAATGTGGTGAGAGCGTGTGGAGGACACGGGCGATTGCACGGTAAAGTAGACCCGCTCTTTCTCCTCTAACTCCCTAAACATAGCGCCTGGAGGCTAGAATGGCAAGCACCCTGCACCCACCCTGTACACTCAGTCCCTTCTCCCTCCATCTGTGTCCGCCACTCACCACCCTTTCCAAGTGGAGCGTTCACTTTTAAAATTCCCATGTTGTACAGTTACTTTTAACTTACAGGAGAGTTCATACCATGTTTTATGTAATAACTTCCCTGAAATGTCCTCCTACAAGTGTTTTACATTGTCAACTGAGAAAGAATTAACCCCACTTTTGGCCCAGGTCCTGGAAAAAGCCCTCCAGTTTGTTTATCTAAGCACATTTTAGAGTTTTTAATTCCTCGCGTGCTTACACAAATACCAGTATTTAAATTATTTTTCGTGGCGAGCATTTTTAAGCGTTCTTCAGTTGAGCGCCTTTCTTAGTCTGTTGAATGTTCCTGTGAAAGGAGACACAAAATAAAGCGTAAAGTTAGAGGACAGTCTTTGTAGCCGTTAGAAGGCTTTCTTCAAGAACTAGGGGTCACAGTCTAAGAATAAGGGGTAAGCCATTCAGGACTGAGATGAGGAAGAATTTCTTCACTCGGGGAATTGTGAACCTTTGGAATTCTCTCCCACAGAAAGCTTTTGGGGACCAGTTCGTTCAATATATTCAACAGGGAGCTGGACATGGCCCTTGCAGCCAAAGGAATCAAGGGATATGGATAAAAAGCAGGAGTGGGAAACTGAAATTGCATGATCATTTTGAATGGTAGGGCAGGCTTGAAGGGCCGAATAGCCTACTTCTGCACCTATTTTCTGTTTCAATTCGTTTTCTGTCCTTCAGAAAGGCACCGGCTACTGGAAATCACATGGGCTGTATCCTTTAACTCACTGTGCCTCGTGGTTTTAGTGTCATCTTCCATCACTCACCAGGTGTACGGCAAGTAAACACATTTTAAGTGACAAGGTGAGGGTGCATCTAAAATGTTAGAAAAAAACCCACAAAGAATGCACCCTGGTGCAGATTCAGATTGCCAGGCAAGAAGCATCAGCATGTGTGGCAAACTCTTGAGCCTCAAGTTCACTTGTGTTTGGGTTGCAAAGGAAAATGAGTTGCTCCTTGTTTTTGGCTTTAGACCAAGCCCCTCTTTCAGGAGGGACACCAGTAGAAGCTAGTCTGTGTTACACAGCACACTTCAACCTCCTTCTGTCTCTCCTAAACTGTGGCCAAGTAAGGCATCACAATGACTTGCATTATTTAAGTGGCTTTAAGCACCCCAAGGTGTGTTGTGTAACAGAATTCCTCACCAAGTCCTAAAAGGAGATATTGGGACAGGTTTGGTCAAAGAGATAAGTTATAGTGTGTGACTGAAAGGGGGATAGAGAGGGCAGCAGTTTAGGGAAAGTCTTGCAGATCTAGGTAGTGGAAGGCATAGCAGCCAATTCATTTCAAAATCTTAAAGGATTGTGAGGCTGGAGGAGGTTACAGGGATAATGAAGGACATAAGAAATAGGATCAATTGTAGGCCATTTGGCCCTTCCAAACTGTTCCACCACTCAATAAGGTAATCATTGATTGATCATGACCTTAACATTTTTATTCATTAATAGGAATGGTCAGCATTTATTACCCATCCCTAATGGCCCAGAGAGCTATTAAGATTCAGTCACATCACTGTGGAGTCACTTGTAGGCCAGACTGTGTAAGGATGACAGATTTCCTTTTCTAAAGGACATTGTTGAACTCCAGTTTTGCAGTCTGACCCTTGTTGATTGAAAATCTGTCGAACTGAGACATAAACTGTTGAAAGGTTTAAAAGCAAATATGATGGTTTTAAAATGGAGACATTTTGTACGGAGACCAAAGGAGATGAGTGGGGACAGGGTTGATAGCTGAAGTGGACTTGGCCTCAGTTAAGATAAAGATAAATATTATTGGATGGGTTAAGTTTATACAGCATGGGAGGCCAGCAAGGACATAAATGACAACTTGCATTTAAATAGAGTTTTTCACTTGTCATCTTGAGGTGCTTTACAAGTGGCAGAATGGGTACTGAACCGGAAATGGCAGAGACGTTAGGGGAAGTAATGGAAAACAGAGGCAAGATGTAAATCTGCAGAAGGTGTAGGGACCAAATGCTGGCAAATGGGACTAGATTAATTTAGGATATCTGGTCAGCATGGACGAGTTGGACCGAAGGGTCTGTTTCTGTTCTGTACTTCTCTGTGACTCTTAAGACGTTTGAAAGTTTGGGGGGGGTGCGGGGCACAGTAAAAATGAACAGGTTGGTAAGAGAATTTGAGTACAAGATGTTCTGGAAGAAGGTTATGTAACTAATGGTGGAGGATCAAGGGAGGGAAGCAATAAGATTTTGGAGTAGATTTGTAGCTCGGGTTGTGGGTGTTGAGGTTGGTTGGCTCGCCGAGCTGGTTTGTTGTTCCGCAGACGTTTCGTTACCGTGCTTGGTAACATCCTCAGTGCAGCCTCTGATGAAGCGTCGGTGTGTTTTCCCGCCTGGCTTTTAAACTCTGGGGTCCGTTGCGATGGATTGCCTCACTTCCGGATTTCCTCCGTAATGGAGTGTATATGGGGTCGAGTTCAATGTGTTTATTAATAGCCTGCATCGTGGAGTGCCATGCTTCCAGGAATTCTCGTGCTTGTCTCTGCCTAGGCTGCACTGAGGATGTTACCAAGCACGGTAACGAAACGTCTGCGGAACAACAAACCAGCTCGGCGAGCCAACCAACCTCAAGCAATAAGATCTCAGGTACTAATGTGGCATAAACCCTGGGTGACATCCATTAGATGCCGAGATGGTTAGATAGATACCACATCAATGTGAACAGCACTAAAGGTTATTTTCTAAATTAATCACTTATACTTCAATTATGATTTGTTGATCAAAAATGTGCTGTGGTATAAATCATAATTAACAATGAAAACTCTCTGGGTTGGCACATCGTCCTTCAGTCTCTGGATCAAAGATTCAAATGGGGCCAGAGCAGATGAGATGAAAACTCTCATGTAAATGTTTAAGTGAACTGACTCAATTCCTAATTGCTATGGCGCCACGTCATAAAACAAACCATAACTCAGCACCTAACTGACAACCATAGTCATTCCTTGTTTAGAAACATGGAAAGAGACAGGTTCCTGGTGTTTTTGATATATATTTTACCCAGTCTTTCCCAGCAGTTTTGTCTTTTGTTGATGTATAGTTCTATTGGTGCTAAATGTCAATCTTAATATCTAATGCTAACCAATGAGTGTCAGCTAGCTATTTAACTGTGTTGGGCATTACAGTAGAGTCTCTTCTTGCTCTTGCCTGGTGTTGACATGTGCACTTCCTGGTAGCAGTCATTGGATAGATTTAAGCATAGGAATATAAATAGTTTTAGTCTAAGATTATAGAGATAACTATAATATCCTCATTTCTATTGGTGTTGCCTATGTCACAGGGCAATTCCACTAACAGAGGAGAAAACATGACCGTTTATAAGGCCACATACTTTGTTCATCTGCAGCTTCTGTGCTTGTGCATTCCTCCACATCAAATTTTAATTATACCCATAATATGTACTATTCTAAGCTGGAGGCAACAAAAGTTTTGCCATTTTCCCTCCTTAAGATCATGTGAGACAAACTGGCAGGATGCAAAGGAAAATACTTCTGAATACATAAAATTACCACAATTTCAGTTGTGGATTGCATAAAAGACAGATTCTCTAAACAAAATCCAACAAAAAAGAACCGTCCTAAACGATTTTATGTACAAAATGGCATCAGAGTCAAATACCACCTGCTGTTGATTTTGCTTAGGTTCTTTCATACAAGATATCAGAAATGCTTTTAGGTTGCCTGTTATGGAGATGTCACATGTGGAACAGAAACATTTTTTGAGTTTAGGGTTAAGGCATATATATTGAGACAGATTAAAAGAATGTTTTATAATGCTTGAAAGAAAATTGGACATTTTCATCACATCTGGCTTTCTTCAGCCTCAGATGTTGTCAAGAGTCTGTGTCTTGAAGACTGGGCTAGGTTGAACTGTGAGTCATTGTAATAGTATACCTGAAACTTGAAATTTATCAAAAATTGGAACGTGTTCCATTCACATCAATCACCCTGATGAGCACAAAAAACAAGTTCCAACCCAGAAACTTGGAAGCGTTTGCACAATTGTGTGTGCGTGTGCGTGTGTGTGTGTGTGTATGTGGTTGTCTCATGATGGCAGCTACCACGTGGGTCTAGCTGACCAGAAAACTCTCCCAATGTAACCATAAGTGTATCAGAAGTATTTGCAGATTGATAACCGACCTGTTTGGCGACATTATGACTCACTTTCTGAAGCTATGAGGTTCCAAGGTGGGATTTGAACACAGTTTCTGGCCTAGGGATAGTGACTCTGCTGACTGCAGTACTAGCTGAATTATTGGTTGAATTACTCACCATATTGGAACTTTAATTTTAATAACACTTTTCTCAACAATTAAGCTCTTAAAATATATCACAGCCGATGAAGTTCTTTTGTTCTTGTTGTGTCATCACTGTTTTAATGCAGGAAACGCAACAGCCAGTATGTACACACCAAGCTCCAACAAACAGTGTGATACGGACCAAATAGTTTGTTTTTGTGATGTTGTTGGAGGAATAGATATTAGCCAGGCCACTGGATATAACTGCTCTTTGCTTCTTTGAAATGTGCCATTTGATCTTTTGCATCCAACTGAAAAGGCAAGTTGAACATTTCATCCAAAAGGTGGCGCCTCCAACAGTGCAGCACTCCCTAGCGCTTTGTCCTCCAATCCTGAAGTGGCTTTTGAACAATGTGATTGAGTGTCAAGTGCTACAAACTGAACCGTGGCTGATTCTAAACTGTTACCCCAAAGTTACTTTAATATTTTATGTATGTAGAATGTGAAGCTCAAACCACCGTGGAGATGTAGTTAAGATTAGCCAGTGATTAAAACGACTGGAAAAATTAGACACATGCTCTTCTAGTTTAG